ATAAATATTTGTTATATGAAAGCTCTGTGTCTGTGTTCGCTGTGAGTATCCATGACGTCACAATATAATCGATCTTTTGACATAAGCGTGGGGTTTGTTATTACATAACATTACATGTATATTGTGTTTGTACTACCTCCGTCGATCCACACGGCTGGCTTGGGCTCGCCGTCCTTGGTGCGGTGGCCTCCCACAGACACCTTCGCCACCTTCAGCGGCAGGCCCCGGCTCGACTGGCCGATGGTCAGCACCTCCACCTGCTTGGGGTAGGTCGTCGCCAGGTACTGCATGTAGCGGAGCATATCTGCAACAAGTGCGCGCGATGCTCAACAGGTGGCGCGCGCATCGCAGTCCCCGCGTCTTCAAATAGTACTGGGCGCGGCCAGGAGATAGAGCAATGGTCAGAAGCGCGAGGTGCGAAAGAGAAATGTACATGGACATACCACTCGCTCATTCAATTCCATTTCCTCATAAACAAGAAAGTGCAATTTTTCAGTTATGTTGGTCAATGTACTTTTTAACTAATCCGATGCCTTATGTCTCGGGTGTTCATTTCGAACATCTTAATTTTTACATGCATTTTTTCTGTAAAACGGCAATTTTTCTGTTATAGCGGTGTTCGATTGAATGAGAAAATAAATTTTTGCAATATCTTATATTTTCTGTGAAAGTTTCGTGCATGCAGCTAAGATACCAATACAAAAATTTTGCGGACGATCTTGCATATAAGGTCGATGACAAGGCAATGCAAGGCGAGGGTCATTGCGATACTATCTACTTGGCTGTTCTGAAGCCCCAGCGTCCGGGACACAGATGCCAACCTTTCGGCAGTCATTCTCAGGGGAAATACTTTTCAGGCGAAAACAGTTCGATCTGAAGAAGACCATATCATGACAGCCGAAACGTTGACTTCTGTGCCTAGGACGTGGCTTCTTCCGGACAGCCAAGTAGAGGTTGTCTCCATCACTTTCATTGCAAGCGTACGACCGTAATTACTCATCACGGTTACGACTGCTAAAAAACAACTTGAATAAAAATATCGTTTATTTGATTTATATTATTGTTCGCTATAGCAATAATAATAATAATAATAATAACAACAACAACAACCACCACCACCACAACACCAACACTTGGGAACAAAACCAGTTTCATACTTCCAGGATGAAAGCTCGTGATTTCAAAGGAAACCATCATGCTGATTTCAAAAATCAGTACAAAAAAGTTTCTATCACGCAAGGTTTAAAAAATATGATCATATTTAGTATTTGAAGTAAACAAAATCCTACACTCCGCATTGTCACTCCAGTTATATTACTATAACATTTTAAGCGACTGGTTCACACGAGGTAAGAACAAGTTAAAAATGGAATACGCGTATTCGTGCAGTAATATGCAGACATTAATTGATTTGTTGGTATTCTCCACAACATTGCTAGAGCGAACGACAATGATTTGAGTTTTCCATATAACCACAACCTAAGCTTCGTTGTACAGGTGACACGACACTGGTGAGCAGCCCGTGGTTTGTCCTGATCACAAACACGACATCCAAACTATCAAGAATACGTAAGTTTTGTAACTTCACATATTTTTTTCATCTGAAATTTAGGCGTAAATCTTCTACAAACTTAATAGAAGTTATCGACTTTCGATGTGAAATAATTTTCACTTTATCGAACCGATTCAACTCTACGGATCTTGTGGCGAATTTCACTTTATAAAAACCACAGAACTGTAATGTATTAATGTATTTCAGGCACACGAAAACCAGACACGAACTTCACGCGCACTGCGAGATAAGTTCCGCATGGGAACCGACTGATCCAGAATCTGCCCAACAGTTCGATACTTGTATACTTGCGATAAGGTAAGGAACTGAAATAATTCCTTTCGGTGACTGATCTGCAGTAGGAAATATGAGGGTACACGTGATTTGGTTTCAATGCATCCACTAAGATGACTAAGACCTACTCGTAATGGAGCGCGACTACCAGACGCGAGAATAAAGAAGGTAATCTTCGAATACAGAAGATAAAAGAACACGAAAGCCCAATTTTGTTGATACTTTGTGAAAGTGGCTTAGATGAACTGAATAAATATTTTATTTTTAAATAAACTTAAGCGTATATATTTTACATATCTTACAGGAGCAATTTAAATGTATTTGCATTAATAGCAAAATACGATATGATGCGGTATAAAGATATGATATATTAAAAAACTGTGACGTGATAAAACGTTTTCACTGTGATATTCATAATCTACGAATAAAATTGAGTACGTTGCGCACTCTATCATTCTAGAGGTAAAAATAGTGTTCCCTAGTGTAATAATAATAATAATAGTAACAATAATAATGCAAAACAATACGCGTTCTAGAAAGATAATTGTTTTTCTACCAATTGTAAGTCTCAATAAATTGCATTTCATTGCCTACTGTTATATCCAACGCAATAACTTTCTCTCTTTTTACAAAGAGTATGTTTTGTAGCCATTTAGTGTGATGATATTTATGGCGATGCTTTTTCTTGTGGCTGCTATCTGCTTCAATCCATGATTAATAGCAAAAAAATCTAAAATTATTTATTTTTTAATTGTTGTTCATTTATTCGTTGAATTAACAGCGGGCTACAAACCTAGTTTAAAAACAGCACAATGTCAACAAAGGTCGTTCAAAAAAACCGATTTCGCCTGATTATTATATATGACATTTGTACTTTCACTTGTATTCGCTTCATTATTAAATGGCTGCGGCATGTTTTATTGTGATAACCTATATGATATAGCTTCAATATATTAAAAAGGAAAACACTATAAAAGATGTTTATTAATATAAAAGATGTTTATTACAGGTCTTTCTTTTGTGCAATATAATCACACGGGTTCATCTAGTTACATTAACAACAATACGTTACTTAATTAAAGCCAATCAATGATTGTTTTTTCAAGACATAAGTGTTTTTCTTACTAATACTATAGTTTTGGACTGAGATAAGACTTTTGCTTCGTATTTATGAGTGAATATTTATCATTAAAAAAGTTGTATTTTTATTGTATTCCTACATTTCTTGTTTTCTATATTGTACTTAACTTTAAATTTGTAAATGATTGATTTGTGATTCTGAGCCCGAAAACAGCTAAGATCATTCGTCCTGTAAATGTAGTGCATGATTTCATCACGGGAGGAAACGATCTTTCTCCGCTGGGTGGCGAGATCCGTCGCCGACATACGTCGGCTTGTGGGGATTTTTATCATCCACGAGTCTCCCACCAGCGGTGTTCCGCCCCAGCCGGGACAAACTATAAGGTCCCGAGTATCCTCCCGACACGTGTGTTAGAATGGGGTATGTACGTATGTGTGTGTAAGGGGAAAAGGTAGTACGAAGCAGAGGAAGGAATGATCGCGCGCGGTGCTGGGTTCGTTTCTTAGGTTACTGCTCCGGCATTCGCCTGATGTTGATCGAATAAATCAGATGAAACTCCAGATCAGTGCAGCCGGCCGCTAGACGTCTCCTCCAGACAGCGGCTGAACGCGCCCCAGCTATAGAGCTAGTGCCGAAAATCCTGCTATCGTCGGGACTCGAAACCTAGGACCTCTGAGTCAGAGGCACTGCAGTGACATCAGTTGATGCCCTGAGCCACCTTCGTCGGTCTGTCCTACAACAGTACGTTACATTTTCAATTCCCGCATTCGCCTAGAACTCCGAAGTTAGCGAGTCTATTCCACCACGAGCTGAGGGTCGCGGTCCTTAGAGTGGTCCCCGTGAGGATCGAATGGCGTGTCTCGGCGCGGCATTTTCGTGGTGGGAAAGAGATGGAAATCTGGCGCTGTCACGTTAAGACAGTTGGACTTTTCCCAGCCGCCGCCGCCTCCCCCCCCCCCCCCCGCCCATTCAGATCCTGCTGCGCGACCTGATCTCATTCGGAAGGTGTCATGCAACGCAGACACAAACAAAAACAGGACCCAACTCCCCTCAGTAAAAGCCTGTGAACTTTTCCACTTTCAGTATATTTTTCGAATCCTAATCCTAAATCCTAATTATTTGAAATTTCAAATTTAAATGTAGTGAACACTCAGAACAAGATTTTCTCTGCATATTTATATATGCTTTGTATACTACGTATATTAAGTACTAAGTATACAATCCTTCAACTTCACTTTCCTAACAGTGTAATATTCTTCTTTTCCACTTCAAGGACAGGTCTATGACCTGTTCCGGCTTCTAAATGTTCCATCTTTTTAAGGGTTTACAGTATTACACATTATACAATTACAGTATAATATTATTATAATGTAATTATTAATGTAATTGCTAAGTAATTATAATGTAATTATTAAGTATATTATTACTCTTAGCCTTATAAATATATATCATATTTCATCTAATCACACATTCTCTTTCCCCTCCCTGGTCCCTATTTTATCTCTTTTCCATTTCTTCATTACCTACTTCTGAGTTCGTCTTCCACTTTCGGTTTTCCTTCGTCATTCTTCAACTCTTTTTTTTAACGTATCCCTTTTTACTGTTCCAGTCGTCACAGTCATCTTGTACTTCCTCGCTTGCGTCTCCTCCTTATTCTCCCATACCTCCGTCTTGTAAGCATTTCTCGCCTCTTTTGTCTACTACTGCCTCCTTTCTCCTATCCTCCCCTGCTGGGCATGCGAACTTTTTATAGTTTTTTCTTAATGAAAATATATGTGATGATGGCAATGGTTGTGATGGCGGCTCCTTTGTTATGGTACGGCTCAGGCATTCGCCTGGTGTTGATCGGAGAAACCACAGGAAACTACCGCTCAGAGCAGCCGGCCGCTTGAATTCTCGTCCAGACAGATGCTGAATTCGTCGCAGGTATCTAGCTAGTGTATACTAGACCTGTCGGTCCTGCCATCTTCGGGCCCCGAACCGTAGAACCTTCCGGATATAGACGCTGTGGGGACATCAGTTAATGCCCTGAGCCACCTCAGCCGGTAGATGTTTAAGTGGAAATTGATCTTTCAGATATTTCTGCTGTCTATGTCTGCTTTAGTCGTATTAAAGTGGCAGCGGGACAAAGGCCAAAATACTCTCGTAAACGGCTTCTGGATGACGTGCCAGGAGCAGATAAGGCGTGAAAGAACTACAGCGTGTCTCAAAATAAGTAGTATAAACTTCTAGGGCATGAAGGGTGATTTTTTGCCAGCGAACAAATAGTGGAAAATTTTATATAACTTAATGTGAATTTATACACGAGACATTTGCTCCTGCTATTTAGGCAACCCTCTAAGCAGAGATGTACAACTGGACTATGAAATTTCCTC